TATTGGAAACACCAAACAATCATTAGTAAAATTTGAGACTTTGATAAACTAATCAAGTATTGGAGCGGCAAGTAAATGCCTGTAGAAAGAATAATTGGTCAGCAAAAAGGATAACTGAGCAGCAGATTGGCTGACATATGTGCGAATTTTATACATGAGTAGCAAAATGTTTTGTGAACGGAAAATATAAATGATTAACACTTTATTCTAATATCAGCTAACGCGAGATCGAAAAAGAAGTTAGTCAAAGTTAGCCATGCACGACAAGCCGTTTGTCGTAATTAACATTTTTTTATTAAATCTCAAATTGACAGTTTAATATTAGAAAACACAAAAAATGAATCAAAATCACCGTTTTCCAATTTTGTCTCATTTCTGAAGTAAAATTCTAACAAAAAAGCTTTAACTTCGTTTGATAACGTTGCAAATTACTTTTGTCAACGTGACGTTTAATAAAATTATTTTAAATTAAGACAAACGGCTTTTCGTGTATAGCCAACTGTGACTAATTGCTTTTTCGATCTCTAGTACTTGGTTGAAAAGTCAACAAAATCCGGTTAGAATGGGTGGAACGTATCAGATGGACATGCAAATGCAGTGGTGCGATCTATCCATGATTTGGACAAGTTCTTTCCACAGGTCATAACTTGTTTCCATGATTTGCTTTGTTTTCTTTGATTAACTATTGTTGTTCTGTTCCACCGTCTGCAGCTAAACCAAAACTGTACCAATCGGTGAAAAAAGAAAAAGAGGCACCTCGCTGGGCTGGGTTAGGTAACCAAGAAATTTAACCGTCAAATATTCTTAACCCCACACTGAAATACACTTAACCAAAACTTTTGTTGGTTAACCAAAATTTTTGAGGTTAACCAACAACTGAAATACCGGGCCTAAGGCGAACCGAGCTCTTATTGTACAATAAGTTGTATTAACTTTTATTTTTTGAAGTAAGCATTAATTTCACCTTAGCCTACTTTGTTACATTGTGACTTGTCTTAAATATTATAATTGGACAAAAATGCTAGTAGATCGGTTTATTTCATATCCCTTATTACCAGCTGTTTTCTGTACCATTATTTTATTAGCAGTTAAAATGATAAAACAGCTTGCTCTGTAGAAATTAGTTAAAGAGTGAACACAATTCGACATTGACTGAATTTTTTGATACCAATGTACTTTTTCGGCTGCGCACAAAAATATTATTAGCTGATCACAAACTCATAAATTACTGCTCCAAATTTTCTTCTCAATCAGCCATTTTACTGACAAAATCGTACTTTATTTGCAGATAAATTAAACCTCACCCAAAAATATTTTACAGGATCTCAGAGTTTTTAAAATTAGCAAATTTAATCCATTGATTCCCATACGTTATTGCAAAACAAAGGAATGATCCCTTAGCCTTGAAACTTTGTGATGGATGGTGAGGGGATGTCGAAAAATCTGTTTGAAAGAAAATAAAATTAGCAAATAAAATTTTATTCGATTGCAATTTTTGAGGTGGTTTTTGGGGCGTGGAATACCAATCTACATGCACTAAAAACCGAAAATGAAAACAAACAAGTGTCAAGTAACATATACATATCATGAATTTTTTAAGTTAAATCTTCAAGAACTTGATGTGAGTTGAAGAATTCGGGCTGTGTAAAAGTAAATGTATATGAATAAACACAAATATACATATAAATATCAAAATCAGTGAATATCATTATATTGTACACATTCTCGCTGTTACAAAATCGCATGACATTTCCGCTTTTATGAAATTCAATTCAACTGCTTGTTGATTTTGTATTTTTACTTCCCGAGCGTAAGCAAAGGAAGTATTGTAATCGACCTGACCCCTTGAAGACGAAGAAATAGGTCTCCCATTTCCGTCTGTCTGTCCGTCCGTCTGTCCGTCTGTCCGTCTATTGTCCCGGATTTTATTAGACAGATAATCTCCGAAAGTACTCGACCGATTGTTGTGAAATTTTGTACTTATATTAAGAATATCATGTAGATGGTAAAACGCTAGCCAAAATTTGTCTAATCATCCCCACCACTAATGCGATGACGTCACTTCAAAATTGTACATAGTAAATGGGTTTTCAATTGTATAAAATAACATAGTCCTACACATGTAGTTTACAACTCTGAATCGACTTTTCACCCGAAACGTCCAGATTTTTGGAAAAAAAATCAAAATTGTAAAACAACATTTTGAAATTTAATTTTTAATCTGCTAACCAGAATGCTTTGAAATGTTGCAGATGTTTTAAGGCTATAAAGAGCATCATAAATCTTTAGTCAAAAAATATTTGCTTATCCCCTCCAAAAACTTGATGACGTCAGCTCAAAAGTTTGTGGAATAAATCATATCTAAAATGTACAAAATATGATGAGTCTGTACTTGTGATCTATCACTCCATTAATATTTTTTGGATTTGCATATACAGGTGACTCAAAAAAATTAATGAATGCGTAAATATATTTTATTGATTTAATCAGGAACTACAAAACCGAATGCTCTGAAATCTTGCAGATGTTTTAAGGTCATAAAGAGCATAATAAATGTTTAGTCAAAATATATTTGCTTATCCCCTCCAAAAACTTGATGACGTCAGCTCAAAAGTTTGCCGAATAAATCATATCTAAAATGTACAAAATATGATGAGCCTGTACTTGTGATCTATCACTCCATTCATATTTTTTGGACTTGCATATACAGGGTGACTCAAAAAAATTAATGAATGCGTAAATATATTTTATTGATTTAATCAGGAACTACAAAACCGAATGTTCTGAAATCTTGCAGATATTTTAAGGTCATAAAGAGCATAATAAATGTTTAGTCAAAATATATTTGCTTATCCCCTCCAAAAACTTGATGACGTCAGCTCGAAAATTTGCCGAATAAATCATATCCAAAATGTACAAAATATGATCAGTCTGTACTTGTGATCTATCACTCCATTCATATTTTTTGGATTTGCATATACAGGGTGATTCAAGAAAATAAATGAAAGCGTAAATTTATTTTACTGATTTACTCAGGAACTACAAAACCGAATGCTTCAAAATCTTGAAGATATTTTAAAATTATCATAAGCATGGTACATTTTTGATCAAAACGTATTTGGTCGTCCCCCCTAAAAAATTTATGATGTCACCACAAAATTTTGCTGAAAAAATCCTATCTAAAATGTACAAAATATGGTGAGTCTCTTCTTGTGATTTATCATTCCATTCAAATTTTTTCGATTTGCATATACAGGGTGACTCAAAAAAATTAATGAATGCGTAAATTTATTTTATTGATTTAATCAGGAACTACAAAACCGAATGCTTTGAAATCTTGCCGATGTTTTAAGGTTATAAAGAGCATAATAAATTTTTAGTCAAAATATATTTGGTTATCTTCTACAAAAAACTGATGACGTCAGCTCAAAAGTTTGCCGAATAAATCGTATCTAAAATGTACAAAATATGATGAGTCTGTACTTGTGATTTATCATTCCATTCATATTTTTGGTTTTGCATATGCAGGGTGACTCAAAAAAATTAATGAAGGCGTGAATTTATTTTATCGATTTAATCAGGAATTACAAAACCGAATGCTTTGAAATCTTGGGAATATTTTAAGGTTATTATAAGCATGGTAAACTTTTGTTCAAAATGTATTTGTTCATCCCTCCTAAAAAAATTGATGACGTCACCCTTAACTTTTGCTGAATAAATCCTATCTAAAATGCTAAAAATATGATGAGTTTGTACTTGTGATTTATCATTCCATTCATATTTTTTAGATTTTCTTAAGAGGTGGTTCAAAAAAATTAATGAAGTCAATTTATTTTATTGATAAAATTAAAGGCAACACTTATTATTAGTATTACACCCCAACCAACCCAATTTGGTAGACACAAAATTTGTTAAAGGAAAAACTCGGTTGAAACATAAGGGTAGCACGCTTATTTACATCGACTTTAACATTACAGACCTGCATTTGTTCACTTGGTTCCGCGAATGTGAAATAGACATGTTTATAATGAACCAATTCTGAATTTCACCATCAAGAATTAAAATAAAACCCAATGTTTTATATAATAAGCGGAAGTCGAAGCAATAAAACCGATGGTCGTTTTGTTTACAGTTTCTTTGTTTGACTCTCACGTATGCTGTTACGCCTGTCATCTTAAATTAAGAATGTTTATACATAAACGATTTTCAGTTGCCGTATACGTGAGTAAATTGTTTCGTTATTTTATTGATTATAAAAAATCAATATTCAAAACGACCCAATTCATTTTCCCGAAAATTTGGGAATACAATAATTTTATTCTTAGTATTACACTACATCTATCCCAACTGATATACGTGTCCTTGCAAAAATGTTGATGACGTCATCGCAATTTTAAATTCCCACTACAAAAATGTAATGAGAAAAAAACACAATAGCCATGCAGTCGTCAAGTTTCCGACAGCGAGGGAAGTACTGTCTAAACTCTTTAGACCAATTTTTTACATATGTGCAAGTTAACCGTTCGAAAATTGTATATTATCATATCTAGTATTTTATCTTTCTTTTTACCTAAAACATATAACTAAAAGTACAGTGCCATTAAAAACAAATGACGTCATTATGACTCATTCTAATAACAATAAATAAAAAAATTGTAAAGAATTACGGGCCAAATTCAAGTTTGTTTGTAATTAATTGCAAACGCCGTTGCTAGGGTGATCTCGTAGAACTCTTAATACAAACCATTATATTTTTGCGAGGTTACCATAGCGATGCAGCTTGCAATTAATTGCAAACCAACTTGAAATTGGCCCGTTAGATACGAATAGCCATATATCAAATTATCTAATAGACAATGAAAGCACCAGTCTCCCGAAGAGTTAAGCTTGGCTTTGATCCGTAAATGACTTCATACCTGTATATCCATCCTTTCAATCTTTTTCACATTATAAGGGTAGCATAAAAAAATACCGAATACAATATCTATGTACTAGATTTATTATATCCTATTTAAATCAGTATAACAACTGTCAACATAATTGTAATCATCTCGCGTGAACAAATAAAGCTCTTCCCAAATAGAGTTACTAATGCTATCCACTGGACTATAATTATGAATCAAAGAATTTTCTTCGATAGCACCGGGATAAAATGTATGATTATTCTTTCTGGCCTCGTTTATAAAAAAATTTCCAAAATATTCAGCAAATTCTAGTGCTTCTGGATGATGAGGAATCTGAAGCATTTCTTTGTGCTCAAATATGTTTTTCTCGGGATGATACTGTATTCCATAAAAGGGATATTTTTTGTGTTCCACAGTGGAAATAAATTCTGCACCGTTTAAATCTTTGTTTGTGCTCACGATTCTCCACTCTGACGAGGCCTTGCTGTTTTTGAAATGTTTTACGAAAACGCACAAGATGTGATAGTGGAAGGTGTTATTGTTTGTTGTGAATTTACGCATAAGTCTAGAGGATGGAGTGGAAAACAGTCTAGTCCGGTCGTAATCTGAAAAAATCAAGTTTGAAAAATGTTTTACAAATGCACATATTTTGTTTGACACATTTCTCTTATCTTTTAAATATGGCTATGGATTTGTACCACACTGAAATTATCGTCTTTTGGATTTTTCCATTTATACGTACCTGGAGTTAATTCGAGGGGTAAAGCGACATTTTTAGCGTGACATATCTTTCGAATGTTCTCCCCCAAACCTACAAACATTAAAGTCTGCATACCAAGGCACGTTCCCCATATAGGATAGTAATTTCCATTGTCGTTGGCTTTGATCGCTGATTCATAAATGATTTTGGCTGCTTCTCCATAACCTCCTTTTTTGTCAAGAAAGAAAACCCCTCCCCCTGGAAGTAAAATACTGTTACGTAATGAGTATTGTCAAGCAAGACTCTTGAATAAAAGAAATCTACTCACCCGTTTGTAATTCTGACAATTCTTTCATAATAGGCTCTGCTTTGACCTATCCTAGAATTCGTCATTTAACGCGGGTACAAAATTAAAAACAGACTTACCATATGGGCAAAACTGTAGCGCCGCTTTTTTGTAGAAATTTTACGTAAGAAGCAGCGATGAAACTGTGGGTATTACGATACGCATACGATATAAGTGTTGCTTCTTGTGTCAAAACTCCTATGACAGGAGAGTACGTAGCGCTTACGTTTGTCACAAATGACAAGACTAGTAAACGTAGAATCATGATAAATTTGTAGCGACTAGCTGCACACGCGAATAACCGAAATTCGCATACAAGTTCAAATTTCAACCTTCTTTTTAAACGGTTTGGTCGTATCTAAATTCAAATAAGGTGATAAGGTAGTGTTATGCTTTTACTTTGTAATTGTCTGCGTCACCGACTGTGACGACCCAAAGAATGTGACAATGTAGTTCGAAACTCAGCAAAAGTGTTTAATGCACATTGAAAAATTAGAGTTCCCTTTTTAAACTAGGAGCTATACTGTCCTATATTGTCCTATGTCAGTTAATTCCTTTCTACAAAATGAGGTAGGGGAACTAGGGGCTTGTTGTAACAGGGGTAAGTTGTAACACTACATTTTTACCCGCAATTTAAACTTTTTAACGTCAGGTATTTTACTGAATTTAATTCTTGCACCATAAGACATCATGTCATCACAACCACTGTTCCTCGAGCCAGCGCAGTGAGTGGATCTGTGCACGTGTTTCGTTTTGGCCAAGTAATGTAAAATATTACTTTAGTAAAATTTGGTTTTTCGTATCAGTTATTAATTAATTTAAAACTTTTAGTTTTGCATGTAGCTCAAAAATTACTCAGCTTTGATATTCCTTACACATTTTGACGCTAAGCCACATAATTTTGTCGAAATCTAATTAAATGTAGAAAATTGTGCTACGGGGCTTGTTGTAACAATAGCTTTGGGGCAACTTGTAACATGTTACAACTTATCCTAAATTCACTTCTACAAATCTTGTACCTAGCATACGAAAAGCGAGCCAAAATTTTGACCTATGACATATATCGCTTTCCAGATATATTAAGAAAAAGGAAGACAAAACTCAAATCTTTAATGTTGACTCTTTTTCTAAAAGTTTATTTCAGTTTTACTGAAAAAAAATTGTATATAATGAAGTGTTGTGTTGATTTTTGAAAAATAAAGTCTAAATATGTATCAACATCAGCTTTATTTTTACTGGTACTAGCTGTCTCATGGCTGTTACAACTAGCCCCAACCACGGGGCAAGTTGTAACAATGCACTTTTTTTAAGAAAATGCCTGGTGTGAAGTGAAGATGCACAGTTTTGAGCTTTTGCCTGTTCAGTCCAATAGGGGAATAGTTAGACTACCGATAAATACTTTTATAATGGTCAAACAGCTAACAGATACCAAATTATATTCGTTTTCCTAAAAACTGTTACAACAAGCCCCTCGTTCCCCTACGTCACCGTGGCAAGGGTACTGATGGACAGGGGATTTCGTTACAACCATGCCGCGCCGACCCTGCGAGAATGTGGTTATTTAAATCGGAATGAGAGCGATACGACACGAGAGAAGAAATACAAGACTGTGCAGAGGACAGTTTCAGTTTCTTCAAGGAACGTCCCTCCATGGGCTTTACATGCTACCGTTCGCTGCCACCCAGAAAATGTACCATACAACCACCACCGTCCTTCTTTTTGTGCACCCGCTCGATAAGCAATAAGAGCCGATAACCATTGTAATATCTCCGCCGCGTAACCCTCTTTCTACGTATCATCTTGTTCCCGTTTTAGCGTCACCGCCACCCCTGGAACCGCAGCAGTACCGTACTTCGAAGAGGCTCCGCCAGGGATGCTACAGGACGATCTTGATCGGGTTTCATTCCTTCTAATTGCTGCAGTTTTTTTTAGTTAGCTAATTTCTTTATTTAGATTTTATACTGGACCACCTAAAAACAAAATTTTCAAATATCTAGAACCATTAGTTTAATATACAAATAAGAAATGTGAAATACTTAATAATAAAAAAAAATATAGGAGTATATTGGATCTTTTATTATTACCAATAGCGATAAGAACAACGATAAATTTTAAAACAATGCTGCCTTTGGGGCTAGACCAAAATAAATTAATATTATTTAACTACAGTTAACATCAATTACGCTCCACCGACAGATTAATTATAGGCTTTACATCATTAATGTGTGATTTTTTCAAAAAACAAAACACATCCGTTTGACTAGAGTTAAGTCCAGTACACGTGTTTTTTATAACATGTAGGTTAAAATTCACTTGAGTGCTACTTCTAGCAATATCGTTAAAATTTTCAATCACTTTGTCTGAAGCAAGACCTTCGATGCAAAAAGGCATAACTCCACTTCCAAAACGCCAAATATCACTATAGTATAATTTCCAATTAACACTATTCATGAACTTTTCAAAATTTGTAAAACTGGAACAACTCCATGGATTTCCATATAGAGTCAAATACCTTTGCTTGCTTTCACTGCAGTTGAAAGAACTAAGTCGTCTAACATCCACTTGCTTCAACAGGTTGAAACTTAGGTGAATACGCAGACGGTGACCAAGCATCTTGCGGCACATAAGAGGAGCCAGAAAGTCGCCTGTGTGTATTTGATTGTGGTCTAAATTTAAAACTTCCAACGAGAGTAAATTTGCGAAATACGATAACGTAACACTGGAAATGTAATTGTGGGACAGATCCAGAACCTCGAGTTTAACCAAATTGGTGATGTTAGGAAACACATATAATCTATTATGCCTTAAACTTAATCGCTGGAGATTTATCAAATGGCTAATGGCTTCGCTCAAACTCCCACTGAGCTGGTTGTATGCCAAATTGAGTATTTCCAAGCTTGCAGGAAGCGTCTCCTCGGAAATATAAACTAATTGGTTGTGTTTGATAATTGCAGTTTTTAGATTTCTAGGAAAGATTGATGGCTGGAGGGACTGAATTCTATTTTTAGACAAATCTATTTGTTCGAGACCCAAACGCGTAAATGTATTTCGTTCAATTTGATCTATATTATTGTTTGTTAGTGATAACTTCTGTAACGACGTTCCAGATGGAAAATTATATTGAGTCAGTTTTCCCACATTCATGTCTCTCAATTCCAAAGATTTTATTTTGCACTTTAGATATATTCTCACAGTGTTTGTAAGTTTAATCGTCCGACCGATGATCGAAATACTGTGTGCGTAGCAAAATTTAAAAATCAAGATAGCCAAGTCCAGTTCTTCTATTGGGACGTTCCCTTCGAGTGTGTCGGTTTGTACTATTAAATCAATTAATGGCTCTTCAAACTCGTGTTCAAACACATCACTTAAACTAGTGCATATCGTTGCATATGTTTCTACACACTTGCAGTTTATTTTACTTAAATGAAGCAGCGTCAAAACTAAACACTTCCAGATTATTATTTTTCTGTACATGTCGAATCAGTAAAATGCTCACTAAACAAAATGTTAAATATGGATGCAATAATAGGTTTTGGTAGTTAAAATGATAAAGATAACTTGCCAGTGAAGGTTAAAGGTTAAAAGACATATGTTCTTATCAAAGTTTATCTGGAATGTTTTTGTATACGTTTATTTATTCTCAGTCAAAATACACATTTTTTTTACACAGTGCATTTTTGTGGAGAGGGTGTGGCCCTTAAACGGAACATTTTATGTCCTAAATGATTTCTATTGGACTACATCAAACAATTTGTTCAATATAATCCACGATCTTTTAGAAATTTTTAGATTCTAACTCGGTGAATGCACAAACGTTCCACAGCAATCAGAAAAACCGCAACCAACAATACTACCTGTTTCATAACTGTTTTTGATATTTATTGTCCCAATTCTTTTCAGCAAAACCTCTCATTCGAGTATATGAAATCGTTGTTTAAAATTACAGTAGGTTTTGAGAGGGATAACGATCCAAGTACTTTTTTTTTAATTCATGAACATTACTGAACCCTTCTTTCTTCTTGTGTCCTGTAACGTACTAGAACATTGCTTCTTTTTTTTCAAAGTTTAACGAATTCTCGATTTTAGTCTTGTCAAAAAGTCTGTTCTAGTCATGATATCGGTTCTATAGGATCCATTGTAAAAAGTAAGACTATTGTATAATCTGGGTACAGAAAACATAATTTTACCTAATAATGGGACAGTTTATTTTGTTATTGATAATATTATAAAGAAACTTGACACACGAGATGATTCGTCTAGTCAACTAAAACTATCAGTATGGCATTATGGTCAGATCCTCGAGCAGGATAGATACCATCAATTGTAAATCACACCTATATATAAAAATTTTCACTGTAAGGACTCTAATAAATTCGTATATGTGGAACAAATCGGGTACCATATTATAATATAATAATTCCTATAGATAAACCCGAACGTTTTATATAAATTTTCTTGTAAAATATCATAGTCTCCAGGCTCACTTACTAACAGGAACAGCTTAAGATCATCAGCAAAAAGTAATTTCTGACAGGATAATGAATTAACCACATCGTTAACATATGTATAATAAAAACAGCAAAACCACTAAAGGTGGTGGTGTTCTCGTTGCATTTTCTAATTCTGTTAAATATACTGTTATTGATACCAAGCATCTCTCAAACTTAGTTTCATTAATTGATGTTGTCTTGTGTCGGTGTGTATTTGGTAGAATCAAATCCATATTTTGTGTTACATATATACCCCCTGACGTTACCTCCACTGAATTAGAGCTATTTTTAAATGCACTAGAAGTACATTTACTGAATGAGGATGTTATTCTAGTTGGTGATTTCAACGTCTCCCACTTTTGCGATGTTAATCCGCCTAATTATCCTAAAATTCCTCTCCTTCAACAATTTTGTGATTCCCTTCTTCTCGTTCAGCATAATACAATACGCAATTGTAATCAGCAGTTACTTGACCTAGTTCTTGTAAACAACCAAAATTTTACAATGGATCTTGAACATTATGTGCCAGCTCTTGTACCTGAAGATGCTCACCACCCCTCACTTGCTGTAAATTTAGAATTCTTAGCATCAACTGCTACCCATAAGTTTCCCGCAGCCAATAATGTACGCTACAACTTTAGAAAAGCCAACTTTCCTAAACTTTACGAAGATTTGTTGAAAGCAGACTGGACATTTCTCGACAATTTCGATGACGTAAATATTGCTCTGGACAATTTCTATGAATATCTCTATATACGCTTCTAGACCAAAATGTTCCAAAAGTTTCCGGTTGTTCATCTTCTAAGTTTCCATATTGGGTCACGAATGAAATAAAAAATAATATTAAAACCAAAGAAAATTTCAGATGTAAGTGGTTGAGAACCAAAAATAATGTCTTCCATAATGAATATAAAAGGCTAAGATCTCTCGTGAAAAATCAGCTGAATAGTGCATATCATGATTACATCAACCAAGTGGAGATTAACTTACAATCAAACCCTTCTGGATTATGGAGTTTCATAAACGTTAAAAA